TTCAACCTTCGCAGACAAACAATTCGCCAGAGCAGGAGAAAAACAAAGCAACAACAGCCCTTCCTTGCGATGCTCGCTACGTGAAGTTCCAATGGCGAGGAAGAAACAACTGTGGCGACGAAAACCACACAGCTTCCTGAATTTTCACAGCAACCATCCGGTGGCCCGCAAATGAAACTGTTTGAGAATACTAATCAAACGAATGCAGACTCACTAGAGAGACCCGGAAGAAAAAGCCCGTGAGACCCGATATCCCCGCAACCAGTTTGCTCGGAACGGCTATCCGAAGGCCTTCATAAACCGATGCCTATTTGCTTGCTCTCGGTGTGTCCAACCCAAACTAGCCTCTGCGGCATGGCATGCGCTGCCATACATCAATGACGTGTCAGAATCGCTGGAACGTACTGCCGTGGGACTAAGTGTCAGAACTGCACACTGGTCCAAAACTACCATATGGAGCAGGGTTATTGAAATTACAGACTGATTGTATCCTAGTGTTGGGAATGCCTCAATTTCTACGATGAGTCATCGCACGCAGAAAGGCGCCCGCGTGAGCTGCCACGCTGTCCTGCGAGCCTACACCTGGATCGTGGCTATCGATCTCTTGACAGGTCTGATTGGGCCGCGCCACTGACACTTTGTCCTCATCAAGCGGATCAATCCAAGAGCTGATCTGGGGAATTCCAGTGGGTTCCCAATTTCTGGTTTATGGACAGAATCGGTTCTACAAGACATGGAAAGATATTGCCCTCACCCAACACAGCCGCCAACATTTCGGCGCCCTTACGTGGATGGCACGTTTGTTATCGTCACGAGACACGTGCTGCGGACTGTTCATGATCGCCATAATTAAAAATTCGGGGATAAACAATTCGCGAGGGCAGGAGAAAACAAGGCAGCAGCTGTCCTTCCTTGGTGGGCTTGTTACGCGAAGTTCCACGTCTACATCGAAACTGCATGGTTTCTAAATTTTAACAGCAACTATCCGGTGTCTCACAAGTGAAGTTGTCTGAGAGCACTATGGCACGCGTTGTCAGAGGCGACCGGACGCTTTGCTGTGGGACCACGTGTCGGAAATTCAGAGGTCGATTAATTTCCGCTGAGCAGTAGGGTGCGGTGTATTGCATCTCGTGCGTAAACTGTCTTTGTAACTACGTAGATCAGACTGGACGCATGCTCAGATCGCGCATACATAAGCCTGAATTGACCACGAGACGGGGTGACGGATTATCATAAGTCGCTGACCACACCCACGTGAGAAACGGGTCACGAGTTTAACTACGCAGACCCGAAGATGGTCGCTCGCATTAGAAGCAGTGCAAACTGCACATTGATGAAAGTCTGCGCTTCCGATGAGCACTCAATCAGTCGATGTATCGATCTGGCGCCAGCATACAGAGCTCTGTACAGTCACCAAAGTACTGTTGTTACTAATGTTTGCTTGTCCCCTATCTCCTATAACTGTTGCTAGTTTTAATGCCATTTTTATTTCTGACGGTGGACTCTACTAGGACTCCGCAAGCCCAGTTGCATGAGGAAAAGGTTCTGGCGATCGAATAGACCTATTTTTCCCTAATTATACATACACCTGGAATACAAATGTTTACCTTAGTTCGCATTCATACTAGACAGCGAAGGATCCTTGGTAGGTATGACCCAAATAGCCAGTCACGCCATCGGTAAGACCAATTATTGACTCTCATTACCTATGTCCAACGAACTACAACGTAATGGAACTCATTTTCGGTATATTTTGGCGTTATTTCCTACTAATTTGGTTAGGGTTATCTTGTCGCCTGATCCTGTCTTGACTGATCTCACAGCATTAACTGTCGCTTCTTGTCAGGCTTCTGTTTGAAGCTTGTACTTGTTCGATCTACTAGTTACACATTACTCGGGATCGGAAATGAATTCGAGGTCCTCCTTTATCTCATCCCCCACTGCTCTCTGTGGTTTACCCTCGTCACCTTCCTAGTTCGAGTTCGCGTCGGGTGTTATGTCTCAGGACGCTTGAACACTTGGCCGAGCAACAACGCAAAGTACGTTTTATTGACTGGTTTTATCCTGTGCCAGGAGAAAGGCGAATTCAGAAAACCGGATATTAATGCCCGTGACTCACATCTTCTGTGTCATGTCTGGACTGTTGTCGTAAGAGAAGCGTATGATGTCTTCGAGCCCCCTTCGGAGTCGACGATCGAACTATCATATTCAACCTGACACACTTGAGTCTATTGCAGTGCGCTAAAAGTCGGGACTGAGGGTCAGACTACAATAGGTTCTGCCCAACGTGACCTTTATGGTGTTTCAACAGACTAAAGCATGGTACATTTGGAGCAGATAGTAGATCATCTGCGGCGTGCATGGATGGGCTCTTAAGCGTTGTCAGCCTCTTGTCATTGTCATGCGGTGTGTGCCAGATGTGATTGTGAGTCAGATGCAGTGCAAGTCCGTTTCGTTAGGAACATATTTATACGCACATTACTACTGTCGCTGGTGGACTTCATTGTTCGCATCGGCCGAATTATCGTGTGGTGTGCGTAAACCACCAAACGAGGACAGTGAATCGACAAGTGGCTGGACGGATCTCAAGGGACCTCTCATGAATCGCGTGAGAGAAAAATTAGAAACTGATTATCGATCGCACGCCTGTGGGGGGACTGAAAAATGGGGGTGAATACACGTCTGCTGTAGAGCGCGTGGCTGTCTTCTTGAGAAATTTACAAAACTCGCTAAGCCGTGCGATCGCATAAAAATGCTGATTTGGGGAGTACACAGTTTATACGTGTAATGGCTTTAGCGCCTTCCACCGTGCCGCGCGAGAAGTCACGTGACTACAGTTCTCGAGTTCAGACCGCACGCATACAGCCGCCGGAACAGCCAATCACAGGTGCCCACCGGCTGTTATCTTGATCAGCCGGACACTGACTCACACATGACGTTTATTTAGGCACGGCTACGCCAACCTAGAGGGCAGACGCGCACTTCGACCCAGAGCTCGGCGCAAGTCGGGCCTCTGACCATCGTCAGGTGTTCGCACACTTCTTCCATTGGCGTCTGTTTTTTTTCTCCTCCAAAACGAAACTGTGTATGATTATGGTAGCGCTCTGAGTGCAAATAGTGCTTAACCTAGAAAAGCGATGCCGAATACTTGTAGACCAACTTTAACGTAGCTGCCTGCTTAGCCACCTCTGACGAGACCGCGAGTACTGCAGCCAACCAAACTGACCTCATAACGGAGGCTCCTTTTTCTACTCTATACCATGTGGTGCATTGCTAATCATAGCATGCATTGCTGCTAATAGGTTCGAGTTGCATGGTCAGAGAAGGCGTTACTTTTATCCTGCGATATTTACCCTTCGGATTATTTGAAATTCTCCTGTGACATGTAGTCGCTATTCCGCCATGTCCGGCACCCATCCTGCCATCCAGTCAGCCAATTAGGCAGTAGACCATGTTAATAGCTTGCTAGCTGGCAGTTTACGGTGTATCTGCCTATGTTAGGCTGTGGATTATATCGTCTGGTAAACCTTTCCAGACTATCAAGTGATTTAACTTGTCGTGAAACGAATACTGAGCTGAACACGTGGTTCAGCTTTACATATGCGACTCGCTGCGAAGTTGCCGTCCCTTCACAGGACTGTGCTGCATCATCTTGACTGTCTTTATCTGTTTTAATTAGTGTAGGAAACCGTAATTTTATGCTGATCTTTCGCTCACCTTCGTCGCATAACTCCTCTGGGGTTAACATTTGGATTTAGATTTAGGAATGATTATCCGCTGCCTTCACTATAAACTCTTCGGTTATGGCTATTAATACACCCACCGCCCCTTTCTATTTTATGTGGCCTCTTCCAGTGCCTTCTTCTGGCTTGTCGGACTTCTGCTCTCCTCCCTGCTCTGGTTCGCTGTCGTGCCCCTTCGCGAACAGCTTGCATTTGGTCTCGTCTTCACTGTTCTCTTTCAGGAAGTTGTGCGATTTCTCTACTTCTTCCTCATACAGTGAGTTGCCAATTGTTGATATTCGACCGTCGAGATAGCCTGTGCACCTAGATTGAGAGCCTAAATCAGAGATGTTCCTGCTTCATAATATGTCTTAACGCACAAGCAGTCCTGAATTTGCGAAGAAAAATACCTGATTGATAGTCTGACTTTGAGAACTCTCAGCTGATGGGATAGATTCGTTTTCCGGACTGGGGACCAGATTTCACTGACTCCTTACGGTAGCCCTCATCTACATTCGATCAGAGCGGGTAATATCTGCTTCGTGGCGGTGAGCAGAATTTGCATGGCATACATATGCGGGCGCCCTGTGATGACTTGCCAAGACACCCAAACTCAATTATAGTAGTTTTGACCTATTTTTACAATTGGAACACCATGAGTGCATGGTGCGAAATTGGGGTCGACGTTGTGCAGGCCTCTAACTCACGATCCAGTCGCCGCTCCGACCTTAGGTTGTAGCAGTTCTCGTTGCATATGGGAGGCGGACCAACATTCGCCTTCAAACAACCGATGCTTACTCAGACGGGAAAATATTTTAACTTTGTCCACCGATCGCAAGCAGAATACCAAACTATGCCGCCTCACAAAACACCTGTCACTTTTTCCCACACCGAAGTGCAGGTCGCTGAGCACTCTGTCGTGTGCAGAGTGCTCCTGTACAAGCCAGTTCAACTTTGCTACTGTTCCCATGACTTCAGCATTTTTTGAATTCTCGCTCCTCCCAAGTGATAGTTCGACCGCCGCTCTCGACGATGTCCACCATGAGGTTCAGCAAGCTGAAAGCAGACGCGGTGACTGTAACTGAGTTATAGTGAACGTAGACTTGCGGGATCTGCCCCATTCACCACACCTGAGTCCGATGTCAAGCCAAACGTCAAGAACACCGGAGATGAGGGAGGACGCAGGTGGCTGGTGCGGCCAAGGCCGTCCCTAAGCGTGCCACCACGCTCGAAATGGTTAGTTTCGGGTGGCCCTTGCAAGTATACAGAAGTGGGCGTGATAGCCATCGCCGCCATCACGCCACCCACAAATTCGCTAGGCGCCACCAGCCGGTATTCATTCCTCTGGATCAGAGATAGATGATACAA